CCTGCCCCCCATGCCCCCCGGCCGCTGCTCCTGCTCCAGCTGCCCGGCGCCCAGCCTGCTCTTCGTCATCGGCGGGGTGGCCCAGGGCCCCAGCAGCGCCGTCGAGGCTCTGTGCCTGCGCGAGATGCCCTGAGCAGGGCCCTGGGGACCAGCCCTGGCCAAGCACCAAGTGCCTGAAGACGGGGACAGGGTGTGTACGCGCCCGTGTGTGCAGGTGACCCGGCTCCGGGGAGCCGCTGTCCCATGACGCCGGGCGCCGGAGCAGCTATGGTTTCTTGCCATGCTTCAGAAACCCCTCCCAGCTCCTGCACCGCTGTGGCAATGGAGCCCCAGGCAAAATCCTGCCTGGCGGGAGGGCTGTGGCCGGCAGTGCAGAGGAAGCGGCGATGGCAGGGGTGTAGCCAGCTGAAGAGCTGTTGGCAGGGCTTTTCCTGGGGTTGGTCACTCCACAGAGCTGTTTTCTTCCAGCAGCATGGTGTGGCCCATTCCTTAGGGGACCCCCACCCCCGTGCTGTGGCGTGTCCGTGCCACATGTGTAGCAGTGAGTGCTGTGTCGTCGTAGACCCAGTCAATGTCTCATGTAGCACAGAGGTGCCCTGTAGCTCAGTGCCTAGGAGGTGATGTAGCACCTCGAATAAATGAAACACGTGGAATTTTACCCCACTGGAGTCGTGTTGTCCCTCGTTATCCTGCTCTGGGCAGGGATGTGCCGCAGCTTGTCAGGATAAACCCTCCCAAGGGAGAGCCTGGCCAGCCGTTCCCCAGTGGAGCCCCGCGCCGTGGGGCCCCACGCCAAGGGGAAGGGATGGTTCTTGCTCTTTTCTGCATTGCCAGGGTGAGTGGAGCAATGTGATGTAGGGATCCAGCCCTCCTTTCGGAGAGGGAGAGCCGAGCAGCGGCTGCCCTGCCTCAGCACAGCCTTGCTCCTGCTCAGCCTCTCCTGTGGGCAGAGGGGCTGTGGGGGGTGAAGGCAGCAGCAGGAGAAGGGCTTTGATGGAGAGAGGTGGGGTGCGAGAGAGCAGGGAATGGTGAGGGCTGCCAGGATGCTGAGAAATAAGATGAGATGCCTGATGATGCCAGGGCTTCTGGGCCCCATCCAGCACCACAGTCCTGTCTCAAAGGATGAAGCATGGTCTGGTGCCTGGGAGAGCCGGATCCGGCTGTGTCCAGCTTCCCTGGGCAGGAACACTGCATCTCCCCCTCACCAGCACCGGGAAGGGAAGATCTGTGCTGATGGTGTTTGTAGTCGACGACATTCAGGGGTGCACAGCAAGGCTGGTGGGGGGTGACCCCCAGGCGCCGGTGCTGTCAGCTCGCCTGAGCCTCGTTAGTCTTGGCTCCATGCAGAGTCACGCGCCCCAAAGCACAGAGCGGTGGTCGCAGGCGCAGACGAGGGATTCAATCTTTCACCGATACGACGTTAGAAGGAGCTTGCAGGTCCAGGTAAATATCAAGCGCGGATGCCTGACCTTTCGGAGAAGACAGCCGGCGCGATCCTCGGGTGGGTAGCAGGGCTGGGGCCGAATCCCAGCAAAGCCCGGCACCATCCGGCACACCGCTGGGGCAGGCTGTGCCGTCTGCCGGGGGCGGCATGGCGTGGGCAAAGTTGGAAACGATTCAGAGAAGAGCATTCGCAAGATGCTTTCAGTGTCGTTGCCCCACCGCCTCCGCTGCCTGCCCAGCGCGGTGACGGCGGGGTCTGTCCTGAAGTGCTGCGTGGTTGTTTGCCTGCATTTTGGGAGCAACATCCTGGGATACCTGGGCTGGTGGTACCTCGGCTGAAGCCATCCCTGCATCCGCCTCTGGAGTTGCCATAGAAACCACAGCTGTGCCAGAGCCAGCATCACCAGGGAGACCCGAATTAGTGATTGAG